AGCGCGGCAAAATTCGCACGTCTCATTTTTTGCTAGCCGCTGCTCCATATCGCCCTTGTCGTTCTCCATCGGGTCGGCAGTCGTGGGTGGTTCCAATTGCCCCATGCCACTATTTGGCTTGTTGCGTTGTGTTCTGTAGTAGCTACTGCTCAACACGTCAAAATGTTCTATCAGTGTTGCACAAAACTGCGCCCACGTCCCTTTGCCTTGGACTATACTGTTGTTGATCCACTCTAGAGCTGGGCCTCGTAACAGTGTTGCTGCGAGCCGTATGCGCATTGCGTCTTTTGTCGGGGTCGTGCATCCAACGGCTTCGAAATAAAATTTTAGTTCAGCTACAAATCGACGAACGTCGTTCCCTTTAACTGTAGGATCGAACGCCTCCGGTAGTCACGGCTTCACTACTTCGAGGTTAACTGTAACTGCTGCCGAAGTCGCAGATAGAATTGTTGGTGTCGCGTCCGCCGCTGCTGCTGCTACTGCTATCGCTGCTGCATTCGCCGCTGCGTTCGCTGCTTCTGTGGCGGTTGCAGACTGGTTCGCAAGGAGTTTCTCGAGTCGTGGGAGCGCCGCACGTATCCGCTTATGCTCAGCACTTAACTCCGCGATTTTCTGTAGTGAAATGTCTCTGCTTCCCTCAATTTGGCAATTAACAGGAAGATGCGCGACGAAAATAATCAAATTCTAGGTGATGGTCGACTTACTACGAGTCGAGTTGACTGTAGAATCGACGAGCGCAAATTCTGTAGGTCACGTGAATCTCCCTTAGTCTTAATTCACGCTCGATCTTGGCCGTTGAGGAAAAAAACAATCCGACGCTCCAAATTTCAACTTTTTTGGGCGATATTCTCTGGGCCGTTGGAATTCGAGTCGATCGAACGGTCGAAATTCAAACATTTCCACCAATAGATCTTGAGAAACTAAGAACGAGAATGGATTGACTAAGGAATGAAAATGATACAAATATGAAACCCAAGAATTGTGTACCCCTTAGTATCTAACCCGCTACAGCCTACACAGGCTAGATCATGTAAGTTTGACACACCCCCATAGGCAAAGTGGGGGAGAACAAGGGGTCACAAGACCAATCAAGCAAAGCAAGGCAAAGCAAGCTCAGGGTGGATCAAAACGTCACCACACATTCTGAGCACAAGTTCAAGGCCACAAGGCCAGTTCACATGCATGAGGACACACATATATATAATGCTAAACAAGCAAGAGCAGGTATATATATATGTAACAGTACAAGCAAAGTCAAGAAGTGAGCAAGTGAGGCAAGGTAGGTACAAGACCTAACAGAGTACAGAAGTGTTGATGGTCACAAGGCGCAAGTGCCTTAGTGAAGATATCAGCGGTGTTGGCCTCAGAGGCCACGTAAGCAAGACGCAGCTGACCGTGCTGCTGCAGCTCACGAGCAAGGAAGTAGCGAAGAGCGATGTGCTTCGTTCTGTGCTCCAGCCTGTGCTCCCGACACAAGGCCAGCATAGCCTTGTTGTCTACGTACAGAACTAGAGGAGAACGAGGCGGCTCTCCTAGGTCAGTCAGCAGGTAGGTGAGCCAGCGTAGCTCCTGTGCAGCCATAGCCCCTGCGTAGATCTCAGCCTCACAACTGGAGCTGAGAACAAAAGACGAGCGGGTAGACCGCCACGAAACAGAGCCGAAACCAAGGCTGAAGAAGTAACCCTGTGACGACCACTGCGTAGCCTGGTCGTCAGCCCAAGAAACGTCTGCGTGACCAGTGAGGACCACTGGACTCCGCCCTCCAAGCACAAGCCCCATGCCCGACGTACTGCACAAGTAGCGCAACACCCTCTTCGCTGCAGCCATGTGCTCTGGTCGGTGTCTCCCAGGAGCAACATAGCGTGCCAGAATGCTAAGAGGGTATGCAAGGTCAGGTCGAGTGCAGGTCATCAAGTACATGAGGCAGCCAACAAGCTCTGGGTACAGGCCACTCCACTCTACGTACTCATCCGAAGGCAGAGCTGAGAGCGAGTGGCGAGTAGACAGAGGAGTGGCCTGAGGCGAGGAGTACGTGAAGCCGAAGCGCTGAAGGACCTGCTGCACCATGTGTGACTGAGTCAGGGTAATGGTGCGCTGTGCTCTGTCCCGGGTGATCTGCAAGCCAAGGTAGCTGCGCAGTTCACGTAGGTCTGTGCACGTGTGTCTCTTCTACAGCTCGGACTTCACGTGGGCGAGTCCAGCAGTGTCAGCTGTGGCAAAGACCAAGTCGACGACATACACGAGGATGTAGAACGGCGGCAAAGAAGTGTCGGTACGCAGAAACAGCGACGGGTCGGCAATAGAGGGAGCAAACCCAAGAGCCGCAAGTGTAGTCCTCAGTGTGTCGTGCAACTCACGAGGTGCCTGGCGGAGACCGTAGACTGGCCGTCGGAGGCTCCACTGGGTACCAGGAGGAAAAGACCCAGTGAAGCCAGGTGGGCGGCGCAGCCAGATCTCCTCGTGCAGGCTGCCCTGCAAGAAAGGAGTGCTGCAGTCAAGAGAGTGAAGCTCGTAGTCACGGTGAGCGGCTATGTGAAGCAGTACCCGAAGAGTGGTCATCTTCGGGGTGGGAGAGAAGGTCTGAAAGTAGTCAACTCCCTGCCGCTGACTAAAGCCACGAGCCACGTAGCGCGCCTTGAAGACAGGCGGAGAACCCGGCGGCCGCTTCACCCTGAAAATCCACATGCCACTGACGATGTTCGCCCCAGGAGGGGGAACCTCGTCGACGTAGGTGCCTGTGGACTTCAAGGAAGCCATCTCTGCATCCATGGCTGCCTGCCACTGAGAGGAGTAGGGACCCTCTATCGCCTCCGCGTAAGAACGCGGAGTCGGGATGTCTGGTGCATCCGGGTCTCCCTCAAGGGCAAGCAGCATGGACACGAGATGAGGTGAAGCAGCAGCAAAGCACTGGAACTCCTCCTGCCTGTCCTCAAGGACGTCCGTGCCAAGGGCACACTCACCCCCGACGGACGGAGGACAGACAGATTCAGACTCAGCGACAAGACTAGTAGCGTAGTCTAGGCGACAGCGAGTAGCGAAGTCGACAAGCTCAGAAACTAAGGCAAACGCAGCAGCGGACTCAAAGGAAGGGTTAGTGACGACAGTAGCAAGGAGACGCGTGACAGTAGGACTGGCAGCACGAAGGGAGTCCGACTCCGGGTCAGCAAGAACAGGAAGAGAGGACTCAGGAGGAGAAGGCAAAGGGGCACGCAGCGGAGCAGTGGAGGGACGCAGAGACATCCGGTGCGTGCCAGGGACAGGAGGAGGACGCTGACGGGAAGCACGACTACTAGTGCGAGCAGCATTGACAGGCGACACGGGACGAGACGCAGGCTCACGACGCTCAGCAAGACCTCCAGTAGGACCAGTGTAGGGAGAAGGAGCAGGCAGAGCAGAGGTAGGCTGTAAGTGTGACTCGTACTGGACCGGCGGTGGACACTCTAAGGGAGGAGCTGTACTAGCAGAGGGCGGAAGACCAAGAACATGCTCAAGGAGCTGAACGAAGTATGGCCGCGGCCGCACAGCACCACCAGAACGAGAAGGGACAGCACCAGCACCCCGAACGACAGCACCAGTGCCAGCAGCACCTCCAGCTCCAGCAGCGCCAACTCCAGTACCCTCAGAGGCACCAGCACCAGAGGCACCTTCAGCGCCAACACCCCCAGCAGCTCGAGCTCCAGCCAGACCACCAGAAGACGCAGCGGGTCCTGCTCCAGCACCCTCAGTAGCACCGACGCCCGCAGCACCACCAGCTCCAGTACAAGAAGCACCCGCAGGCCCAGCAGCTCCAGTACTCCCAGTAGGAGCACCTCCGGGATTCACGGCACCAGCACCCTCAGCAGCAGCAGAACCTTTAGCACCTGCAGCACCTCCAGCTCCACCGCTCGCCTCCAGCGCCGGGCAAACCACTCACGCAGCTCCTGTGGAGAGAGGAGCTCCCGCCGGGACGAAGCACCCGAAGAACCTCCAGGCTCAGCACCGCCAGACGCCACACGAGCAGGTCTTGTACCCTCAGACTCCGCATCCCCAGACGCAGCACCCCCAGGCTCAGCACCCCCAGACGCAGCATCCCCAGGCGTAGCACCCCCATGCTCAGTACCCCCAGGCGCAGCACCCCCAGAGTCAGCACCCCCAGGCTCAGCACCCCCAGAGTCAGCACCCCCAAACCCAGCACCCGCAGGCTCAGCACCCCTAGCAGCACCAGAGTCAACAGCTACCTTGACAGGGTCGACTGCGTCTACCTGAGACACACTTGAGGGGGCAGGACCCTGAGGGGGGAGGGGGTCTACCGGAGGGGGACCTGGCGTAAGGAAGAGCGGCGGGGGGGGGAGGGACGCATTGCGGTAGGGGAAGAGACGGTAGTAGGGAACTCACTCGTCAAACGTGACGTCCTGGGAGGACAGAACACGGCGCGAGGTGGGGTGGTAGAACTGCCAGCCCGGCGCGTCAGGGGGGAAGCCAAGGAAGAAGCAGGGAACAGCACGGGGGGACAGCTTGTCCGCAGACAAGTCGCGGACAAACGCCCGAGATCCCCGGACGCGGAACGCAGACGCATCGCCAACCTTCCCTGTCCATAGCAAAGCAAGGGAGGTCTCCGGCATGGAGACCCAGGGCTGAAGGTTGATCTGATGCGCCGCATACCGAACCGCAAACGGCCGCAGAAAATGGGGGGCAGCCGCATGGACCATGGACGTACGAGCGACGTCCATGACCATGCCAATGCGGCGCTCAGCAATCCCATTTTGCTGCGGAGAGTCCGGAAGCGTGAAGGTCTGGCGGATACCTCGTGCACGACAGAAGGCTCGCAGAAGGTCAGAGGAGAAATCGGAGGAGTGAGGAGCAGCGCGCTGCCGCCCCTCGACGCAGGGAACGCAGGTAGGTGCAGGCCCCGGAGGAAGGGAAGGGAGGGACCGGGGAAGACCAGAGACAAGGACACGGGAGGCCATGCCTCGAAGACGAGGCAGGGAGGGGTGACCAAGGCGGTGGTGCCAGAGGAGAGTCTAGTGAGACAGGAGACGACACGAGCAGGGGGCAGACTCAGGACCAGACCTGGATGCCGCAGCAAACACGTGACCCGACGCGGCTACCTGAGCAGACTCAGCGACCGGAGGAGACTCAGTATTCAGTGTGTACAGGCTCGACCCCGGCTGACGGGTAAACGTGGCCAAGTGACGGCCCGTCCGAGCACAGGTACAGTGGGTCACTCGCTGACTCGCAAGAGTGAACTGGTGAACCCCTCCATCCTGGAGGTCAGCACCACTCACCAAGTTCGTAGAGAACGAGGGGAGGTAAAGACCCGACAGGGTGCCAGAAGGGGCCGCCAGACACGGTAGAACAGTGGAGAAGTGGGCAAGGACAAGACCCCCATAGGGGTCTGCCAGGGAGACTGCCACTGGCCGACTAAGCGGCGTAAGCGTGGTGCGGTCTCGAAAAAAGGAGCGGGAAGCACCCGAGTCAAGGGTGAAGGTGTGGGTGGCCGAAGCCGACGCGGTACCTGAGAGCGCAGACTCACTAGCACCTGGGGCAGCAGGCTCACTAGCACCTAAAGCAGCAGCCTCACAAGCACCTAGAGCAGCAGCCTTAATGCCCGGGTCAGGCGGAAAACACTGGTAACAGTCACCCTTATCACTAATAGTCACAGCATACATGGCAGCACGAATAGCATCATAGTCAAGATCAAAGATCGAAACACCCGCCCTAAACAGCTCGCCCCAGCGAGGGATCTTAGTAGCGTCAGGGAACTGATGACGCCAAGAGTCCGTCAGGCGGCAGAAGCAGCGCTGGGCGGAGTGCGGACCCCCACATTGCTCACCCGCGCGGTCGCCGGTGCGTAGAACGTAGGTACAGGGGCCAGCGCCCCCACCCCGCAGACGAGCAGTGTACCACTCACGAAGCTGCTGGGGGGAAGGGGTCTCACGAGTGCGCTGCTGCTGCTGCTGCTGGCGCTGACCACCACCGGAGCCGACCCTGTGCATAGCGCCGCCCCGACCAGCTCCACCTCCGCCACCGCTACCTCCACCACCGCCTCCACCTCCGCCACCTCCGCCCGCACCGCCACCACCGCCGCCTCCTCCGCCTCCACTGCCGCCACTAGCGCCCCCACCACCGCCACCACTCCCACCGCCACCCCCACCCCCTCCGCCGCCTCCACCGCCGCCTCCACCGCCCCCGCCAGCTCCTCCAGCGCCCTTGCCCCCCTTGCCCTTGCCTGAGCAGCGTCTCCCGCTAGGGGCAGACGCCGCGCCGACCGACTCAAGACCAACGAGGTCGGCCGCAGCAGCAGAGGCAGCAGAGGGCAAGAGGGGGGAGGGGGAGCACCCCTCAAAGATAGGGGTGCGAGGGTCACCACGAGAGGCTCCTATTACGACTATACTCTTCTCTGCTGCTAGGAGGCGCTCCTCGAGGAGGTCAACAGTGATATTGGTGGGGCAAACAGAGAGGAAGTGGTCCCTGACCGAGCGAAGTGTGAAGAATGAGGAATGAAGAAGAGAGGAGTGGTTGCACTAGCAGCAGTTGGCATACACATAGGAAACCCTAATTGGGTTGTACTCGCTATAGAGTACCACACTGCAGGCTAGACAATTATAACATTGTGACACGAAGGGTGTCAAGGAGCCGGGTGACTATGTAGTAGAGGGTGATGTACATAGGGGGGGGGGGTTCTTGGCGTAGAACTCAGCAGGAAGCGCAGCGCGGTAGCGAATGTCACTAGTGAGAAGGTGTGTAATGAGATCAGCGACTGTGGGAAAAGCGGCGAGGTCAGGGAAGAGGAACGGCAGTATGAGGCGGCTAAGAGCAGAAGTGGCAGGGGAAGAGTAGCGTGCAACTACAGTGTCGTACAAGGTCTTAGCACTCTTGTACTGACTAAAATGCGCACGCTCAGCGGTCGGTAAGTGGCCGCGCACAGCAAGGCGGGTAGCAGCATCGCGCGTGGCCCACTGTGAGCGAACAGTGGTGTCAGCATCAACAGTATGGGCAGGAGAGGCACCAGAAGTGAGGTCAAACAGGGAGAGACCGTGTGCCCTATCGCACTGGAGGAAAAGCTGCAGATCATCTACCTAGACCTCAAAGTAAACAGCCCGACCCTCAGCGTCAAAGGTGAGAACACTGGGGGTGGCCATGACAGCAGTAGACATGCAGTGAACATAGCGGGGTAGGGCAGTGCAGTGGTAGAGGCGTTGCGCTTACCAGGCAAGTGAGGCGGTCTGGGGCAGGCCAGCAGGGACAGGGCCGCTACTGCAGTGACGGCGGCGTCTCGGTTGCGGCGGCCCGGCGGCTCGGCGGCTCGGCTGTAGTGCGGCTCGGCGGCACAGGCGGCTCGGCGGCTCAGCGGCTCGGCGGCACAGGCGGCTCGGCGGCTCAGCGGCTCGGCAGCGAAGGCGGCTCGGCGGGGCTGTGAAGGGCGGCGTCGCTGCCTCAAAGGAGCGGCGATGGGGCCGCTGAAGGGCGGCGACGAGGCCGCCGAAAGGGGGCGGTGACGAGGCCGAGTAGGGGCGGCGACGGGGCCGCGGAAAGGGGCGGCGACGGGGCCACGGAAAGGGGGGGCGACGGGGCCGCTAGAGGGCGGCGACGGGGCCGCTGAAGGGCGGCGACGAAGCCGCTAAGAGGCGGCGACGGGGCCGCTGAAAGGGCGGCGACGGGGCCGCTGAAGGGCGGCAACGAAGCCGCTAAGGGGCGGCGACGGGGCCGCTGAAAAGGGCGGTGACGGGGCCGCTGAAGGGCGGCGACGAAGCCGCTAAGAGGCGGCGACGGGGTAGTTGAAAGGGCGGCGACAGGGCCGCTGAGAGGGTGGCGACGAGGCCGCTGAAAGGGCGGCGACGGGGCCGCTGAAAGAGGGAGGCGGCGTCGGGGCCGTCAGGGGCGGCAACGAGGCCGGTAGGGGTGGCGACGCGGCCGTCAAGGGCGGCAACGAGGCCAGCAGAGGCGGCGACAGGGCCGCTAAGGGCGGCGCGACGGGCCGCTAAGGAGGGCGCGACGGGGCCGCTAAGGAGTGCGCGATGGGGTCGCTAAGGAGGGCGTGACGGGCCGCTAAGGGCAGAACACTAGGCGCGCCTCGGGCAGGAAAAAAAAAAAAAAAAAAAAGTTCGATCTTGGTGGGCCCTAGGACAGTTCCCACTAGGGAACCTGCTCAATACCATGAGAAACTTAGAACGAGAATGGATTGACAAAGGAATGAAAGTGATACAAATATTAAACCCTAGAATTGTGTACCCCTTAGTATCTAACTCGCTATAGCCTACACAGGCTAGATCATATAAGTTTGACATATCTGAGTGGTGTTCGAAAACCAAATCAAGGGGGACTTAGAAAAATTGCGCAGAACTTGTTTTACATACCCGTATCGGCGCTTTCGTCGTCGCCCCTGCGGTTTTTAAAGGCCGGAACTAAACGGTTGAAGACCTCGCGTGCAAACATGCTCTGATTACCAAGTGTGAGGATCTGGTTCAGGAAAGATAAATCTATTGAATGATTCACGTGGGTACAAGGCGAGACTATATATAGGCTCGACACAAAGGCAGTAACCCGGTTGTTACTAGAAGGTTCCGCGGGTCGCGAAGCGTCCCAAGCGGGTCCTTCCCGAATTCGGTAGAAGGCAATTTGGTGGCGACCGAAAAGCCTAGAATTCGGTGCACTCAACCTAGTTCGGTGCTATAACTATAATAACTATAGCAAAAGCAAGGAACCTAGGAAATCAAGCAAAAGCAAGCAAAGCAAAATCAAGCTAAGCTAGATAATGCGTAATAAAGTCCAGGCAAGCTAGTAAAGCTAGCATAAGCCGTCGTACTCTCACACCTACGTTGACGCCCGCTTTGACGCTGCCCTCGGTGTTCACCGGTCAAGGAGAGACAGGCCAAGAAGGGTGCTCCGTTGCCCACACGGTACGGATGGCAGCCTCGACGACCGCCCATGGCAGGTTGCCATACTCGTTAGCCTCGTGACGTCTCCTCGCGTTCTCCAGACGTGCCTCCAGGGTGTCCACCACCGACGTGTCACCTACGCCAACCATGGTGGTGACTAACGCACAACTGCCGGCCTACGAACAACTTAGGTAAGTGGGACTAAGTCGACCAGACTGAAAACTACGTCGCGGTGCCGTCCATGCTCACCGCACCATGCGGAGATAAACGGGGACTAGACTACGGGCTAGGTACGGATGCTCGTGTAATCTCTACGTTTGTTCCTTCGTTGTTTCCTTATGTTCACGGTGCTTGCTAGTTCACAGGGAGAATTTGCAAGAGTTCCACTAGGAAAACATCACAACAATGATCCAGAATAATGGAAACAACATTGGCATGCAAGACAATATCAGACCTAGCGAAGGTGCTCGTCTACCTTCAGCGCAGCACGGTCGACCGCATGCCAACACGACTTGGTCGTCTGCACTCCAGCAGAGCAAAGTTGCGGCTTGCCAACGTTGCAAGTCTACGGCATGCCAACGCTGCAGTAATTCGGCTGCACAGCATTGCACCTGCAGGACAACGAAGCACCTGCTTCGCAGATGTGCGCAGCTGGTTGGTGCACCACGCGTTGTTGTGAGAATAGTGAGCATAGTGAGGAGCCATAGCTAGGGTTTAGCTAGCTAGGCAAGAGAGAAATGAACAAAGGAGGGGTTTCACTAGCAGCAGTTGGGATACATATAGCAAACCCTAACAGGGTTGTACTCGCTATAGAGCACCCCACTACAGGCTAGATAATAACATTCTGACAGTTGTCACGTGCCCAACGCAGACGACTAGCAGACCCCACACCACCGATTGCGCCAACCAGCCACGTCGGCCTCACAATACCACTTCCGAGGTCGGCCTCGCAAAAACCACATCAGCGACCTTCACACGCTTCCGTAAAAGTTCGTTGCTTGGGTGACACGGTCGAGTAGGCAACCAGGTCGATGCCGATAGGTCTGCGTCCCCTCGTCGATCACTTCGGGACTAGGCCGCCGACTTCGCCAAGTCGTCGGCCACCCAAGGTCGGCGCCCTAAAGTCGGCGCCTTGCCAGGCCGGCCTCGCCAGGTCGTCTCCCCACACTTGGCGCCTAGCTACTCGGCGTCCTGCTACATGACGCCCTCCAGCTCGGCGTCACCAGACCCCCCCATCCAGGTCGACATCGCCGTCCCTCCTTCGTCAACCACCAAATCAGGTCGACGACGAGGACGACCACCCCAAAGTCTGCGCCCAGAAGTCGGCGCCAGTGCAGTGGCCCCCGCGCAGGTCGACCACACTCGTCGTCCAGCTCGCCCACTGTAGCAGGTCGGCTGCACTCCCCCGTACACCCGACCACGAAGTCGGCTCCGCCCAAGCGAGGACGGGGCCTAACACAACTCGCGTTGACAACCAACACGAGCAAGACGCAGCAACAATGACAGACACTTGAACCCTACTAGACACAGCTACTTGGGGGGAGGCGGCTCGTGAGACACGAGGACCTGATGGAGGGCTGCGACATGTGCCGGGGGCAGCTGCTGCTGTGGCTGCAGTGGCTGCACCTGCTGCTGCTGCTGCTGGTGCTGCCGCTGCTGCTGCCCTCGGGGGCCAGTGTGAAGTGTGTAGAGACCAGATCCCGGCTCAGCGGTAAAGGTGGCGAGAGGCGCGTATGTGTCCCCGTCGACACAAACCGCAATCTCGTCAAAAGGCTCAATCCACACACCCACGTGCTGACTCACGAGCGACCTCAAGCCCGCCAAGTTCCTCGAGAACGAGGGACGTGGAAGCCGGTCAGAGAATTGGAGGGAGCAGCCAGGCACGGAAGCGTAGTAGTGTAGCGAGCAGTGACTGGTCCTAAAGTGGGATCAGCCTATGCTACAGAGACCGGAGTAGAAAGCGGGGTAAGCGTCGTGCGGTCGCGGAAGAAATAGTGCGAAGCTCCAGAGTCCAGAGTGAAAGACAACGAAGCGTCCTCCTGAACAGCTCTAGAACTAGAGTCGACACAAGGACCTAAACTAGCACCTAAGCTAACAACACTCGAGTGGACGACACTGCGCGACAGCTGACGCGGTCCTGACCCCTGCTCCGGCACCTGCCTTTGCCTCTGCTGTTGCTGCGGCTGCTGCGAGAGGAGTGGCTGATGCTGCTGCTATCGCCGAGTCACGTACCAAGCCTCCACTCCAGCACCTGCAGGTGGCAGTCCAGCAGGTGCCAGACTGTCAGAATGAGGAATGGTCTGAACATTGATGTTGGTTGGGGTACATATGACAAACCCTAACTTCTGTACCCCCTAAGACAAACCTCACTACAGGCTACAACATTTGACACACCCCCATAGCCTAAGTGAGGGGTGTCTAGCAAAATCAAAAAGAGTACGGTCACAAGACCAGTCCAAAAGAAAACAAAGCTCAGGGTGGATCACAACGTCACCACACACTCTGAGCACAAGCAACAGTGGCCACAAGGCCAGTCCAAGAGATCACAAATATATATAGCAAGTGTACAGACGAAGCAGGCAATAAACTCAAGTCTACACATGACTAGAACCTGTGTCAACAAGGCCTAACTGCACACAACACCTCTGGTGGTCACAAGGCGGAAGCGCCTTGGTGAAGATGTCTGCAGTGTTGGCCTCGGACTCCACGAACTCGAAGCGAGCCTGTCCACGTCTCTGCAACTCTCGCAGAAGAAAGTACCTGACGTGAATGTGCTTCACTCTGCTCTCCAGTCGCGGCTCACGACAGAGGAGGATCGACGCCTTGTTGTCAGTAAACAAGGTCGATGCAGAGCTCGGCCGCTCACCAAGGTCGGCGAGCAAGAAGGTCAACCACCGCAACTCCTGTGCCGCCATGGCACCAGCGTAAATCTCAGCCTCAGCTGTAGAGGTCGAGACAGAAGAGGAGCGCGTGGAACGCCAAGAAACAGCTCCAGAACCCAGATTGAAACAGTACCCCTGAGTAGACCTGTGAGTCTCAGCGTCGTCAGCGTAAGAGGAGTCACAGTGACCAGTGAGTACGACAGACTGCTGCCCTCCAAGAACTAGCCCCACGCCTGATGTAGTCGCTAGGTACTTCGCCACCCTCACAGCTGCCGTCCAGTGAACAGGACGGTGTCTCCCTGGCGCAACAAAGCGCGCAAGGATGCTAAGAGGGAAGGCGAGGTCCGGGCGAGTACAAGTCATCAGGTACATGAGGCAACCCACAAGCTCTGCGTAGGGACCACTAG